TCATAGTTAGTCGTCTAAACTAATTGTTATTCTGCCAAAAATGTACTAGCTAATAACACTTTTTTTGGTAATATGTATTGTTAGATGTTTAGTAATTTTTATCAAGTTAGTTCTTCATGTGCCGTGTAAATAAGTGATTTATATCGATAGTATAGTAGCATGTTATACTATTAAAGAAGATTTTCCTTACTAGTTGGTCGGTTAAATGTTTGGCATATGAGTTAGTCGTTTATCTTATGATTTAGATGGCTAATTTGTTATTCATTGTACAAAGTATTGGTCAGGGTAATATATTAGTTATACAGCTAATTTATTTGACAACTATGAGTTATATTTAAACATAATTGTTAGATGGCTAATTTTTACTTGATGATAGATAGATTAGTTAGATTGATAAAAGACTTTTTTTCTTGTGCATTGTACAACGTTTTATAGTGCATGTTAGTAGGTTAAAATAATGGTTAGTGAATAATATATTATTTATTCGAGTATATTGTTGATTAGTTGGATATATTTAACATCACGTAGATACAAATCAAGATACTAGAGTTTGATGGATAACAAAATACATTAACGGTGACCAAAGCTTTAAAATGCTCGATACATATACTTGATACCAAAACACGCATACATCCTGTAATAATAATAATTTTATCCTGTAATAAACATCCTCGTTGGCAACTATGGTGTCTCTCCCATCTCTAGATACACATCTATGAAAAATTAGATCTACTACATCAATGGCTCTGAAATAAAAATAAGGAGAAATCTCTACTACAAATCACAAGAACTCATCGATCTACTTACCGGTTAAACAAACCGTTGGAGTTTTCGCTGGATTGTCAACAAATCTAGTCCCTAACAGTCGTCTCGGAACTCTCCTCTAATCTCATCCACCATTTTTGATAATTCTTTGTGTGAGGAAAAATCCGTTTTGACTTTTCGACTTCCGTAGATCTCAAACGATTTCTCTGATGAGGAAGGTTGAAGAAGAAAATATTTTAGTAAGAAGAAGTAAAGCGAGAGAGATTCTTCTT